ACGCTATCCTTGTTCACGACTCTTGCTACGAATTGCGGTCGGCAAGGATCCTGCAGGCACGCGGCAGAAACAAACAAGCAATAGGCAAGAATCCGGCGGAAATCCGCAGGAAAACAAACTCCCTCAGCGAAAAACTAAACATGGTAGGAAAACCTAGCATTCTGCAGGAACAAAAAACATAACGTGGGCAACAAAAACCTAACCGATCGGCATACAGGAGATGAGCCGGACAACCTTTCATTTGGCAGGAAATGAAAAAGAAATTGACAGGAAAGCCTTGCGTTCGGCAGGGGATTAATATGAAGTGACAAGGGAAGCGTTGCATTCGGCATGAAAAAACAAGAAAGTGGCCAGGAAAACCTTGCACTCGGCAGGAAATCAACGGGAATGGGCAGGACAACCTCGCACTCGGCAGGAGAAGAACCGGAAATGGGCAGGAAAACCAAGCTTTCGGGAACAAAGAGATAAGACATTGGCAGGAAAATGTTGCATTCGGCCGGGCAACAAACAAATAAATTAGCAAGAGAACCTTGCATCCGGTAAGGAAAAATAGGAAATGTACTGGATGACATTCCATTCGGCAAGCAATGAACAGGAGATGGGCAAACAGACATTGCATCCGGCTGGAAATAGGCAGGACATGAACAGGAAAACCGAAGCATGTGGCAAGACATGTGCACGAAAGAATTGCATTCGGCAGGCAAACGGCAGGACATATTCAGGAACATGTTGACATTGCATTCTGCGGGAAATAAATCAGAAATGAGCAGGAATACGTTGCATGCGGCATGCAACGAACAGAACAAAACAGGAAAACCTCGCACTCGGCAGGACAAAGGCATCCTTGAATTCGGCAGGAAATATAACAGGAAACGGGGGAAAACAACAACTTCGCATTCGGCACGGAAAAATCAGGCAATGGGCTGGAAAACCTTGCGCTCGGCAGGGATTAAACAGGACATGGGCAGTAAAACCTTGCATTCGGCAGGAAAAAATCCAGAAATGGGCAAGAAAATTGCGCGTTCGATGGGAAATACACAAAAGTTAGCAGGAACACCGCGCGCTGGGCAAGGAAAAGGCGAGACACGTTCAAGAGAGCACTGCGCTCGGCGGGAAAAGCGCAGGAAATGGCAAGGACAACCTTGCGCCCGGCAGGAAATAGGCAGGACATGGGAAGGATAACGTCGCACTCGACAGGAAACAAACGGGACATGGGCAGGGAAACCTCGCACTCGGCAAGAAAAAGCAAGAATTAAACGTCCCCGGCAACTACCCGGGGGACCCCCTCTGCGCCCCTGGCCCCTGCTTCAGCGCCAGCGACGTCTGGAATTCGCGGCAGAGCGCCGCGATTTCCCGGGCTCGCGCGGCGGGCCCGGTCCTCCTCCTCTGGCCCTCCATCCCCCATTCCCCCCCCCCCTTCCTCCCCCCTGGGCTTCCGCCTCGTCCCCCGCCCGTTATTCTTCCCTCGTCGCCGCCGTCGTCGTCTGCCGTCGCCGCCTCGTCGTTGTCGCCTTTGGCGTCGTCGCGCGGCCGCGCCGCAGTCGCTGCCGCCGCCGCGCGAGCGCGGGCGGCGCTCGGGGCCTCCCCCGAGCATTCCTTTTCCTCCATCATATTATTTGTCCTCCTTCTCCTCCTTTTCCTCCCTGCCCCCCTCGTGTTTTTTCCTCGTCCACCTCCGCCCCCTCCTCTCCCCCGCCCTCAGTATCCTTTTCCTGCTCCCCCCCCTCGTCCTCGTCGTCACCCCTGGCCCTTCTCCTCCCCCGTCCGGCTCCTTCTCCGCCTCGTCCTCCTCCCGCTCTTCCTCTGTCTCTTCCTCCTCCTCCTCCTCCTCATCCTCCTCCTTTTCCTCCTCCTCCTCCTCCTCCTCCTCCTCCTCCTCCTCCCCCTCCCTCCTCCTCCTCCTCCTCATCCTCCTCCTCCTCCTCCTTCTCCTCCTCCCCCCTCCCCCCCCTCCCCCTCATCGGCCTCCTCCTCCTCCTCCTCGTCCCCCCTCTTCCTCCTCCTCCTCCTCCTCCTCCTCCTCCTCCTCCTCCTCCTCCTCCTCCTGCTCCTCCTGCGCGCTCAAACCAAGGATGTCCTCGCCGCCCGCGCGCCCGCCGCCCCTGGAAATCGCGGCGGCGGCGGCAGGGGCGGAGATGATGGCTGCAACGTCGGCGGATCTTGCAATGGTTGAGGCGCAGACAGCCACGGCGTGACGCGGCACTGGTGGCGCTGATAACCAGTCGCACGAGGGCTGCCGTCGCTTCGTACCTGAGAAACTGGACGGACAAGCAAGACTCGCGCCCGCTTGGCGGTCAGGCTTGGGCGTGCCAAGGCTTCGCCCCGGGGCGTGCTGGAGTGGCATGCTGGGTATGGGCATGGCGGGCGGGCGCGGGCGCGCTGGCCTGCCGCGTTTCCGCATTTGCCCTTCGGACAGCACGGTTCCCGCCGCTGCTGTCGCTGGCACTCTTGCTTGCGGTTCTCCTCCTCCTCCTCCTCCTCCTCCTCCTCCTCCTCCTCGTCCGCTGCCTCGACCTCTCCTCCTCCAGATCTGTCCACTGACTGCCGCTGCTGTTGGCGACCATTATGGTGCCGACGGCGTTCCTGTCTCGGCTCCTGCTCCTCCTCCTGCCACACGTCATCATCCCGCACGCTTGGCCTTCCACTCTTCCTGACCCTCCTCCTCATCCTCCACTGTGCCTCCTGATGTCCCTTCCTCCTCCTGCTCATATGGCTCCCGCTCAGCATCCCCAGCCGTCGATGAAGCCATGCCAGAGACATGGTCACTCTGCTGCTACCGCAGTAACAAAGAAAACAGAACACGCGAGTTTCATGCAAGTTTCTTGTGGCGACACGAGCAAACGCGCGATCGTTTGGCTGTTCCCCTGTCGAAGTTTAAAAAACATGCGCGTTTTTTTTGTTGCGCGGGGGACGTGGGGATCCCGCGGCTGGCGAGGGGAAGCTGTCATGGGCGCGGAGAGTTGTCATTGGGACGACGCCACGCCCAAGACGCGCCGAAGAGGCCTCCAAGAGGCCCAGAAGATACCCCACGAGGCCCCAAGAGGCCCCCGAGAGGGGCCCAAACCGCCTCCAAAATGATCCCGACAGGCTCCCCACGACACCCCAACACATATACAAGAGGCCTCAGACCCACAACCCAGGCACAGTGGCGAGATGGGCCGAAGGCCACTGGGATAGCGCCAACGTCTCAACATGCGCCGGTGATTCCTATCAGCCCCCGCATGATGTCCCCAGATGCGCCAAGGCAGCGCCGAGGCGCACCGACGCGACTCTGATATATCTCATGATAAAAGAGAGAGAGGGGCCGACGGCAGGGGGCACAGCCTTTACGGATACTGACATTGCGAATCGAGAGTCACTGGGTATTTTGCTGCCCTGGGACGGAGAGCATAAGCAGAGGAGCCGAAGGGGATTAGGAGAAGGAGGGTGGGCCCAAAAGGAAAGGCAAGCACACTAGAATGCGCCAACCCCGCTTCGGAGATACCACGACGCCAACACACACACACACACACACACACTTCAGTCGGCGGCGCAGCTCAGGCGCGAGCCGCGGGTGGAAGTGCTGACTGCGACCGGACAATGTCGAAAGCACAGTGTACAAACCGTTGCACACTGCCCTAGCGCCTTAGACGCCTGTGCAGAAGGTTTCCCAGGCTTATGAGAGCTCCTGGGGGCCCCTCCCTGCTGGGCCCCGGCAGCGGGCCCAAATCGATCAGAAGCGCGGCCGAACAGCCTCCCGAGGCCCCAAGAGGCACCGAACATCCACCAGAAGCCCGAGAACGACCCAAAGAGCACCCCCAAGAAGCTGTCGAAATGCGAAACACACACAAGAAAAAAATGGCCACCAAATGCCCGAGTCCCGAAACGCTGCCGTCCACTTGTGCCTCCGCCAACTTCCCCTGACCTTCCACCGGCAGCTGCCCGCCGCCAGCTCCTGCGCCCCCGGCGCCCGCCGAGGGCGAGACGCGCCGGAGCCGAGGCCCCTCCCGGAGCGCCACGCGCACCAGGCTGGCCACCGAGTGGACGCCCAGACATGCGACGTCCTGACGTTTTCAATGCGGGGCCACTGGAAGTCCCGACCCCTTCCCTGGGACCGGTTTTTCCATCCTGGATCCTCTCTTGACGGTCCCTCGAGGCCCGGCGAGAGCCCCCCGAGGCCGAAATTGGCCAAAACACTCCCGTCCTCATTTTGGTTTACGACACGATCATGCATCTGGGGAAATACCACCGCGTGCTGGAAGGCACGGGGGTGCCCGGTCCGACGGCATGACCGGACACAGCCCGGCAGCAAGGGGGGAAGGCCAAGCCACCGCCTGGATTGCCTCAGGGCACCCAGGGGACCCGAGCGCCCAAGCCGCTCTTGGAGCCACGGCCTCACGCCCCCAGACCACCCCCTCGCCACGGCATCCTGGGCCACCCCGCTTCGCGCATCGCACCCCGCGGCGCGCGACGCGCGCTTCTTCTTCGCGCCCTCGCACCGCCGCCCTGGAGAAGGGCACCTCCGAGACACTCTCGAACCCCAGCCGCGGTGCGCAAAGCGCGGTCACCTCTGCGCCCCTCCCCTCGCCCAGATCATTGGATACTATCTTTCGGTCGCGATCGGTAGCGACCGACCGGCACTCCAGACCGGCCGCGACCGATCGCAACAGATCTGTCGCGGCCGGTCGCCGCCGATCGGTCGCGACCGATACCGAAACTTGAAGCGCAAAATCGGCAGCGACCGATCTCGTCGGTCGCGACTGGAAGACCCCAGCATATCCAACGATCTGGGCGGGTGGCCCGCAGCTCAGGGCGCCCCGCCCGCCGGGCGGTGTGCCCTCTGGGCAAGGGGGCCCTCTGGGCAAGGGGCCTGCCTCATCAATCTAGATTGATCCACTCACGGATCCACTGCAACTGATTTCCATTGACTTCATTCCATGCGTAGCATGCTCTACCCTCGAGGCGGGGAGGGGCCGCGCGCCGAGCGCTCGCGCCCTATTGAGAGGCCCCCCCGGCGGAGCCCTGCGCGCTGAAGGCGCACGGCCTGCAGCGGCCCTCGAAGTGCAGCGCCGCGCCCCGGCTCGGCGCCGCCCCGGCCGGCACCTCGCCCGCCTCGTGCAGCCCGGCGGGCGTCGAGGCCACGCGCCGCGGCAGCGCGGGCGGCGGCGGGGACGGCGTGCGCGGCACCGCCTCCGCCTCGGGCGGCGGCGGCGCCTCCGGCGGGCCCGCGGCGGCGGGCCCGCGGCCGCCCGCGGGGCTGCAGCCGGGCGGGCAGCTGTGCGCCCCGCGCGCCCTGGCGAGGCGCTCCCGCGGGCGCTCCCCGCACTGCACGGAGATGAAGGTGTTGCACACCTCGGCGGCGTGGCAATATCGGCCCCCGAGCAAAGGATGCGAGGTCCTCCTGCCGAGCACGGATCTGAGACGGCTCCCCCTGTCGAGCACAGATATCGCCCACTCTGTGTCGTTACATCGCCGAGCGGTGGGGGGCGGCTGGGACGGGGCACGCCACTCTGTGACAAAAACCTATTGCGGCCGCCGCGATCGCCGCGGCGACCTCCCCAAAAACGGCCCACAGCTTTGCTCCGGGGCTGGGTAATAGGTATCGCGCCAGGCGGCACCTGCAGGGAGATCGGGCCGTCTGGCACGTCCTCGGAGCTGCCGTCGCTGTCCTCGGCTACGTGCAAGAGTGCCCCTATATAGGCAGGGATGCCTCGTGGTGCGCAGCTATTGAGGGGGGCGCCCGGGGTGGGAAACCTGAGCGCACGAGCCGGCGCTGTCGCCCTGCGCGGTCGGGTGGCCCCGGCGGGCCCGCACCAACAATCACTCGGGCGAAGGGCCACTCTTCCCCGAGATCCGACGCAGCGACAAAAACAGCCACGTCGCAAGAAGTCACGCCCAGAGCCGCTGATCCCGTGCTTCTGCGCCACTCCTCGAGCCCGACCGATCTCTGTGCGAGGGCGTCGGGCGCGAAAGCGCCCGGTCCGAGACACCTGAGGCGCCATGGGATCTCACTCACAGGGCCTCTTCCCTGCTGAGACAACTGACGGCACTTGAGCTACATAGACTTTAAGTTGCGTTGAGGTAGAACAGATTGGACTTAGGCAACTTATTTCATTATTCATGTAAGTTTTACGATCTTGAGTAGAGCTTAATAATAAGTTCCGAAAGTTCCTGCGTCGGATCTCATGAGATCCGACGCAGCGAAAAAACAGCCGCGTCGTAAGAAGCCACGCCCAGAGCCCCTGACCCCGTGCTTCTGCGCCACTCCTCGAGCCCCACCGACCTCTGTGCGAGGGCCCCCGGGCCCGACGCCGGGCGCGAAAGCGCCGGGCCCGAGACACCTGCCGCGCCATGGGATAGCTCACTCACATATGTATATGTGTATATACCCTGACCTTCCAGAAAGCTATTTTTTAGCACTGGAGACCTAAAAACCTAAAAAGCTGAGCGAACCAGCCTAAAACCAAGACGTAGAATAGCTTTGGGATAGGTTTTTAAGTCGGGTGCTATTTTTAGCCCTCCTGGAAGGTCAGGGTATATACACACACACATGTATGCCTCTTCCGCACGCGGCCCGAGCTGTCCGCGCCCGCGTCCGCCCCCGCGCCCTCCGCGCCGCCGCGCGGGCACTCCGCGGAGGCCCAGGCCGCGCCCCGGCTGCTCGGCGTGGTCGAGCGCGAGCCCTGCGGGGGCTGGCACGCGGCGCCCTCGGCGCCCTCGGCGGGCGGCGCGCGGCATGCGCGCGACGCCGCCCGGGCCGGGCGCGGCCAGAGGCGCGCCTCCGCCGCCGCGCGCCCGGGCGGGCCGCCGGGCGCCACCGCGGCGGGCATCGCGCCCTGCCTCGAGAGGGGCCAGACCTCCGGCGCCCGGGGGGGCGCAGCTGCGGCGAGGGCGGTGCTGCCCTGGCTCGGACGGCCCTGCCCCGTGCCGCCTCGTCGGGCGTCGTGCGCGCTCTACTTTTGTCCATCGCTTATAAGCAAGAGGGCCAACATAGAAAGGCATATGGGACTCGGAGCTCTCGGGGGGAAAGGGTCCAGGGCCTGGAACCCCGTGGAACACCAATGGGGCGGCGATCAAAAACGGGTCTTACGCGAGATGGCACAGCGACCTTACGCGGTGCCTTACGCGGGCCGCTAGCGCGGAACGCCTCATTGGAGACGAGGGCGCTCACGCGCGACCTTACGCGGGGAGCTTACGCGCCAACGTCGGTGAAGACGACCCCCTTGTTTTGCGTCGCTCGATTGAGGCTTGGCCATGGATCTCACCAACGCCCTTATCAGAAAAGGAATCCGGCAGGGTCTGAAGACTCCTGGGCACATTCCTGAACGAGTGCCCCCACCGTGCACCTACAACCCTCCGAGAAATCGGCCGCATATCGTTTCCGTCCCCCCTCGCCCCGAAGTTCGGTGTTCGGCAACGCGCGCAACGAGGGCCGCGGTGTCCGAAGGGAAACACAAGTCGCCAGTTACACGAACATTGGCATCCGGGGTCCGGGGGCGCCGCCACGCCAGGGGAAACGTCTTGTGAGTGATTCCGCGGTGAGCTGTACGTTCGCAGGCTTTGCTCAGTCTGCTCCGTGGGGCAGTTGCTCACCGCGCCACCGCCGAAACGAGCAGTGCGGCACGTGGGTTCTCACCGGCGGGCGATTGTTACGCCAGCCATCTTACCAAGCCTTCGCAGCGCAGCGAGGGCACGTGAAGGGAGCCTATGGACAAGAGTGGCCTTTCGTGCGCGGCGCTCGGGCAGACGCGGGGGAGGGGGGGGCAGACCCAAGCGAACAAGCCGCTGCTAGCACGTGAGCGACAACCCGAAACGGACATCACGCAAACGACACAGCGACCCCATGCGGTGGCTCACGCGGGCCGCCCGCGCGGCGCGCCACACTGGAGACGAGAGGGCACCCGCGCGCCATCCTGCGCGAGCAGCTCACGCGCGAAGGTCGGCACAGTCGAGCCCCCAGTCTCTGCGTAGCTCACACTGCGCTCGACGACGGGGGACATCACTGGGCCCGCCAGGAAGGTCACTCTTCGGCGGCGAGCCCGAGGGGAAGTGAGGAGAAGGCCTTCTCGGAAGCCCCAGACCTTCCGAGGTTCTTTTGAGCCTTCCCGAATCTCAGAAGGCGCGAGGGCTTCTGAGAAGTGCCGCCGCCTTCTGGAAAGGCCTTCTCCTTCTCACCTCCCCTCCCCCTCGCTCGCCGCCGAAATTAGTCTTCGGGTCATAACTCCGGTCTCCACCGGTCGTTCGGGACCACCCGGGCATCCCCGGAACGCTCCAGGCGAGGCGCAGCCGCCGGAGCGCCTCCCGAGGGCCGGAAAGCATCGCCGACGATAACGACGAGGACGCTCGAGAACCCAGAGCCTCGAGGCTCGAATCTCGAAGTTTCCCCCCTCTCGCTCGCCGCCGCCGTGGGCCCGCGCGAGTCAGGAGGGGAAAAAACACACAGACACAATTAATCGGCGATTCCCAAAATATATGGGAAAATATGGGAAGTGGGGGGGAAACAAAAACCCAGAAAATATGGGAAAATATGGGGGGTATTTTTATTTGTGCGTCTCGCCGCGGCCCGCTCAGGGCCTGCTCGGGGGCGCAGGGCGCAGGGCGGCCACCTCCTCGCACCCCCGCGGATGGGCCCATGTTCCGCCGCCACTGCCATAGGTGGGAGAGCGAGGAGGAGGAGAACAAGGAGGAAGAGGAGGAGGAGGAGGAGGAGGAGAAGGAGGAGGAGGAGGAGGGCCTCCTCATCCTCCCTTCTCCCCCGTCCCACATATGGTGGTGGTGGTGGTGGAAAACCTGCCCATCGCCCGCGCCCTGCCCCAGGACGTCGGAGGTCTGGGGGGGTATCTCCTTCTCCTTCGGAGCTGAGGGCGGGGTGGGGCGCGGCCGAAAAATGGCTGCAGGGAGGAGGAGCGGCGGCGGGGGAGGGGGGCGAAGGGGAGGAGGAGCGACGAGCGAGGCTGAGGAGGGAGGGCGCAGATGGGCGGTAACAGGCAGGAGGTCGGAGAAGGCAGGAGGTGGGAGATAGGAGGACGAGGAGGCTGAGGAAGCGGCAGAAGATGTTAAAGCAGATGGCAGGAAGAGAACGAAGAGGAAAACGCCAAGACCGACAAAGCCGGGAATGCTGAAGCCACACTTGCAGTGCCTGACGTTGTTTGCTGATGTTGGCCTCGAGGGCCAGCCCCCGTGACCTCCAAGAGGCCCCAAGAGCGCCCCCTCCCGCAACGCCCTGCTTTCCCACCCTCCCTCTGCTCCCCTTTCCCCCTCTCCTCCTTCCCCTCCCCCTGCGCGCCCCCCGCCCCCCCTCCCTTCTCCTCGTTATCCGTCCCCTCCCTCCCCCTCCTCCTCCCCCTGCCTAGTCCTCCTCCTCCTCCTCCTCCTCCTCCTCCTCGTCCTCCTCCTCCTCCTTCTCTTTCTCCTTTTCCTGCTCTTCCTCCTCCAAAAACTTGACACGTCCTTCTCATGCTGGCTATATCCCCCCTCCTCCTCGTCCGCATCCCCCCCTTATCCTCCTCCTTTCCATCCTCTGCCCATCCTGTCCTCCCTAGGTCTTCCTCATACACATCGCCTCCTCGTCGCACCCTCAGACGTGTCGGTAGGCTGGGCTGGGCGATTCGCCTGAGACTTCCTCGCCACCTCTGATCCTGAAGCTTGAACTGGGCAACAGCTTCAGGTTCAATAGTATGCTCTCGACGTAGCGCCTCGCACATTCGTCTGAATGTGTGCGACGGCTTCAAGGATGAAGGCCAGCTCCCTTTTTTTATCTGACTCTAGCCGTAGCGCCGCGCACGTTCGTTTTAAAAGTTTGCGCAGCTCCCTGGAGTCGTATGAGTGAAGTCACAGGAATGGCGTTCTGCCACGGCACAGGGTTGTCAGGACGCAACAGTCACGTTGATTCGCGGTGTTGAAGTCCCAAGATCGGCGTTCTGGTACGATTTAGGGCTGTCAGGACGCAACAGTCACGGTGGCTCGTTTTGGCAGGATTCAGGATTCCCGTACGGTTGTCTTTCAATGGCGTACTTCCCGCAGTGGGAACATGGAGAGAAGGTTTATTGCAACGCCGTTGATGCGTCTTGGGCTTGCACTGGTCCTCTTCCTCCTCGTCCTCATCCTCCTCCTCCTCCTCCTCCTCCTCCTCCTCCTCCACTTTCCTCATGCCTCCTCCAACTCCGTCCCCCTGATCATCCTACTTCGTCTCCCTCCTCCCCCTCCGCAACTCCTCCCCTCCGCCTCCCTCCCCACACCCCTCTTCCGGCCGCCGCGGGGCCAGGCGGCCTTCGCCGCCCTCTGCAGGGACCACTCGGGGGCCCTCTCGACGTCCCGGTGGAACGCCTCGAAGCTGAGCGAGCGGACGTGCGCGAGCGCGGCGCCTCGCGCGGTCTTTGTCGTGCGCGGTCGTCACCGTCGTGCGCGGTCGTCGTCGTCGTCGTGCGCGGTCGTCGTCGACGTCCTTGTCCTCGTCTTCGCCGTCGCCGTCGACGACGACGTCGCCGTCCGAGGATCAACGTTCGAGGCCTCCGCGGCCTGCTCGAACTCCGGGGGGGCGCCCTCGCGGCCACGGCCGGATCCGCCTCGGCGTGCTCGCCAGCGCGCGGCCCAGGAGAGATCCAGGGGTCGGTCATGGTCGGTCCGCGTCGTCGTCGTCGTGCCCTCCTTTCTCCCAACTCTCCCTCCACCTCTGCCTCCCCATTCGACGCGGCGGCTGAATGCGGGCTACAGGGCAGTTTTTAATACATCGGATTTTTAGAAATATGGGATTTTTAATACATGAGCTGCCCGAGCGGTGTGGCCAGAAAGCGCCCGCCACGACGCATATACTTTCTCCGTGCGCGCGTCGCTCCTGGCGGGGCGACGCACACAGAGTATACGTATTATGGGGTGACGCCGGCTTACTACCGGGCCTCGGGACCGTCAACAAACGAGTCGGGATGAAAAACCAGTCACGGGGAATGGGTCGAGATCTCCAGAGTCGACGCTCTGAAAAGGTCATGACGTCGGGGGGCTGGGGATGCGGCTCGAAAAATGGCGCAGAGAGAGATGGGGTCTGGGGCTCTGGTCGTGCTTTTTCGCGATGTCGCATGTGTTCCGCAACGTCGGATCCTGGGGTCTCGGTCGCCCCCACGCCGCCCGCTGGCGACGCATTCGTCACCGGTCTCGTCCTGGAGCTGCCAAGGCGGCTGCTGGCTCCCCGGCTCCCGACGGGAGTCGTCCCCCGCGTGGCGGTGGCGACCCTGCTGTTGCGCCATGGGGCCCGCCCTCGCCCCCTCGGCCCACCGCCAGTGGCCGCAGGACCTGGCTCCAGTGCCCCTTCGGGGCGGGGGCCGCGAAGGCCTCTCGGCCCTGCCCTGGTGCTGCCTGCACCAGCTGCGCTCCAGCCGCCCCCCAACCCCCGCCCGTGCCCACCGCCCGACGCCGCCCACGGCGACCGCGCGGCCGCGAGGGCGACCGCGCCGACAGCGGCCGAGGCCGAGGGCCCGCACGAGCGGCCCGCCAAAGGCGCAGCGACGCGGCAGCGGCACCAGAATCGACGGAGCCGGCCCGACCAGGCGCGCAAACGCCCGCGGCGCAGCCGAACCGGCAGGGCCCCGGACCCCCTCGCGCTCCCGGGCAGCCGCGGTGCCCGCACGGAGCGCCACCCTGGCCACTGCTAAGGAGCCTTAGGGGTGCCGCGGGCGGCCCCGCAGCGGCGCTCCTGGCGTCGAGCAGTTCACTTGCGGCGTTCTCCCCATCTGACCGCTCGGTGCAGGCGCGCGCGTGCGTGCGTGCCTGCCGCTTCCAACAGGCGGCCCCTCTCACTCAGGCCGCGGCGAACCGCTGGCTCCTGACGTGTCGGCATGCGCGTTGACTTCCGGCACGGCGGCGTACAAGTAGGAGCAGGGACAGAATAACCTCCTTCAAGAACATGAGACCCTCAGCGGGGACAGAAGAACCATGCTTCAGGGTACCCTTCACCGGGATGCAGATTGACATCAAATAAGCATAAAGAGCATTGACTGGCAAGCCATTCATTGCCGCAAGCTGATATTTGGCGAAGGCGCAGTGTCCAACTGCCCTGCAAACGAAAGTTCTTCAGTTTGACATATGTTTCTTTGGCGGAGGCGCTGAGCGTTTTACTCGCGAGGACGAAAAAGAAATGCTGGCCTTTTTCATATTGACATTGGCGTGGCTGGAAACTGCTCAACAGCGAAAACATAACATTTGGATTGTCCGTGCACCCGCATCAGTGCGCACGCTCGTTTCGTGTATTAGTGTAGTCAAGTTGCGTGGCATGTTACCCAAACATCGAAGTTCTTCTTTCGGATATACCGCTGTCCCATTTCCCCTGCTGCGCGAAACACTAGGCTCGGCATGATTCAATTTGGCAGGGGGGCGGTCGCACAAGTTCCCGCAGACGAAGCCTCGACCGCCGCACGCCTTGCTTCGGCAGGGACCTTGGCCAAACGTGCCGCACCAAAAAAAAAACAGTTTTGAAAGAAGGTGCCCTCCCCGAACCGACCTCGCCCTCCCACCTCGGTCCGAGCGTGGAGCGCTCCGCCGCGGGCGATGCCCCCCCCCCGCTCTCTGACACCGAGGCTCTGGCCATCGCTCGGACGTCCATTCCCTGTGTTTTTTCTTGGCTTCGTGCGTGGTTTTTCTTCGCCAAATGATCAAGGATGCTCCTCGATGGTCCGCGCCGGTGGAGAAATGCACACGTCCAAACGATGCCAAGACCTCGGTCCGAGCTTGGATCGCTCCGCCGCGGGCGATGCCCTCCCCCGCCCTCTGACACCGAGGCTCGCGGAAAGGCCGGCCCGGCTCAGAGCCGCCGACGGCCTCCCGCCGGGAGCGCCCTCTGCGCGCCCGCGCGCGCCCGCGCGGGGGGGCGCGCAGAGCACGGAGGGGGGCGGGCAAGGGCGAGGAGGAGGGCGCCCCGGGGACGAAGGGCCGGCGCAGCGGGCGTGCGCTGCAGCAGTGGCCACGGAGGCGAGACGAGGGACGAGGGAGGAGGGCGGCGACCGGAGTGAGGCGAGGGATCTGGCAGCAGAGAGGACGACGAGGAGGGCGCGGCGAGGACGGCGAGGCGGGACGGGGCAGGCCGAAGGGCCAGCGCGAGGACAGCAAGGAGGACTCATGCAGAAGAGTGAGCAGCGGGAGGGAAGCGAGAGAGAGGAGACAGAAAGGGGAAGGAGAATATGATGAAGGATCAAGGTGGAGAAGTAGAAGAAGAAGAAGAAGAAGAAGAGGAAGACCGCGGATGATATGGAGAAGGGTTCTGATAAGCGTAGCCGCTCACTACTACAAGGAAGCCAGTGGCAAGAACTACAGCAGGTGGAGACGGACGAGGACGGCTGCAAAAGGGAGAAAGAGAATCAACGAGGCCGAGGAAACGGAGGCAAATCAACCCCGCTGCGCCTAGCATCGACTCCAGCTCCGGGGTGCTGCTCAGGCAGTCCCACGCGGGAGGCAGCCTGTGATGAAGGCACGAGCGCGTCTGGACAGAGCAGAGACGATACAGCTGATGCCTTTCAAAAGACGTGCAAGCTTGGGGCTCAAACTCACTCCAATGTCGATGCTCATCTCAAGGTGCCCCTCTATGCGCAACATGGTAGTTTCGAAATCTGTGTAGGATGAGAGGATCGCAACACAGAGTTTACCCAACATCGTTTGCACCACTCAGCCCGCACCAACTAGATAACACCGCATATCTTGAACAATATGTATATCTATATATTACACAACAGTGCTTGCACCACATAGCTAATACCACAGAACCAACACCACGTAGTGTGCACCAACTAGCTTGCGCTTGCACCACATGCGCGACGAGAAGAAACGGGCCTTACGAGAGATGGCATAGTGCTCTTACGCGGTGGCTGATGCGGGCCGCAAGCGCGGCACGCTTCATTGGAGACGAGGGCGCTTACGCGCGGCGTTACCTGGGCAGCTTACGCGCCAATGTCGGCGTAGTCGACTCAGTTTGTCTGCGGCGCTCACTTAGCTTGCACCACATAGCCTAAACCAAACAGCTTGCACCACTCAGCATGGAACGCGCTTGCGCCACATAGCTTGCAACACCGAATCAACTTACACCGTACAGTGTGCACCACAAAGCTTGCATCACATGGTTTACACCATATTACTAGACCCAGATAGCTCACACATCAGATCTTACGCATCCGGGGTACAAGAAGCCACTGTTTGGAGTTAGTGCTGGCATCACATTGATGGTAGTGTCCATCATCCTCGTCACGCCATCCACTCTCTGTTTATCCTTCTCCTCCTGTCCACCAGCTCGTCCTCTCATCCAGTCTCCACTGCCCTCTGAACATGGTCCGCTGTTTTACCACACTCCTGATATTATCCTCCCGTTTCTTCTCACCAAAAATTGGGCACGCAATTATGAATATATTCCAGGCCCACCCAGAGAAGAGAAGGATGAGGAGGAAGATGAGGAGAATGAGGAGGTGGAGGAGGAGGAGAAGGAAGAAGAGGACGTGGGGGAGGGGGAGGAAGAGGAGGAGGAGGAGGAGGAGGAGGAGGAGGAGGAGGAGGAGGAAGAGGAGGAGGAGGAGGAGGAGGAGGAGGAGGAGGAGGAAGAGGAGGAGGAGGAGGAGGAGGAGGAGGAGGAGCGGAGGTCCACCCAAAGACAACTCGTCCCGTTAGCCGGACCACCTCAGCCACGGAGGGCCCCGTCGCCGGACCGTGGCGCCACGGGCGGCCCGTCGGGCGCACGGGCCTGGGCAGAACGCCCTCCCTGCCGGGAGGCGCCGCGGGCCCAACGCAGCGCGCCATTGGGAGCCAAGGGCAGTCAGCGAGCGCCATCTCGGCACGAATCGGGGAGACGTAAGACTCGTGCTCGGGGGACTCGGGTTGGCCCGACGGGGCCATCATGCGAACGACAGGGCCCAATCTGGAATTCGGCGCGGGCTCCCTCTGCAAACATCCCACGGAAACTGGACCGTCAAACTACAGGGCATGCTCGCCAAAAAGCGTCGGCAAACCTGAGTTCTGGTGCACGCGAGTGTTACGTCTCCCCGAAGTAAACGTGGCCGTAAACAGCGCGTTGAGGACACAGTCCCAGACATCCATGGAAGAGCCCAGGGACACAAATAAATCCGACGACCCTGTCGGCGTGTGTGAGGGGCTTGTCCGTTCAAGTCGTCATCTCCGTCATTCGTTGGTCGTCGTCTCTGTCATCCCCTTTCCCTGCCTCCCCCCTTTCCCTGGGCTCGTCGAAGCTCCCCCCTTTCCCAGGGACCTCCTCAGCGCGCCAGCCAAAGCAAAGTTGAGCAACGTCGTAATCGAGTCGAAGGGAAGCCCCTTCCCTTCGATCCCTCCCCCGCCGGGGGGGGGAGGGGTCTCAGGGGGGGGGGTCAGATAAGACGCCCCCCCTGGGAGTCCTGGAGCCCAAAAAAGCCCCCAAACGGGCCAAGAGTTCCACAAGAGGCCCCATGGATTTCCCATACGTGTTTGGAAGATTTTGGCGATCTTGCCTCTTCCGCTTCCCGACGCGCCAAGACGGCCCAAGAGGCCCCCAAAATCGCCCCGAGACGGCCCAAGAGGCCCCCAAGAGGGTCCCCTAACGGCCGAAGAGGGTCCCAAGACGGCCCAAGACGCCTCCAAGACGGCCCAAGAGGCCCCCAAGGCGGCTCCAGGAGAGTGCCCAGACGGGGGACCCGAACGGACATTTCGAGCTCTCAGCCCCAAGAGGCCCCCAAGAGGCCCCCAAGAGGCCCCGAAGAAGCCCGCAGAGGCCCCAAGAGGCTCCCAAGGGGCCCCCAAACTGCCCCAAGACAGCCCAGGAGAGCCCCAAATTGCCAAGGAGGCCTCCAAGAGTGCCTCGAGACGGCGCAAGAGGGGCCCTGGACGGCCCGAGACGGCCTCAAGACTCCTCCTCTTCCTTCTTCTCCTCCTCCTCCTCCTCCTCCTCCTCCTCCTCCTCCTCCTCCTCCTCCTCCTCCTCCTCCTCCTCCTCCGCCTCCTCCTCCCTCCTCCTCCTCCTCCTCCTCCTCCTCCTCCTCCTCCTCGTCCTCCTCCTCCTCCTCCTCCCCCCCCTCTGCTCCCCCTCCTCCTGCTCTCCTCTGCCTCCTTCTCCGCCTCTTGCTTCTCCTCCACATCCTTCTCCCCCCCTCCTCCTCCCTCATCCACCTCTTCCACCCTTCCTCCACCTCCCACGCATCTTCCTCCCCCTGCCCCCCCCCTCGTTTTCATCTTCGTCGTTCTCAGGGTCGGCGGCACCAGCCGTAAGGCCTTCGCAAGTATACAAATCCAAGGATTCCCAATCGTTGTCCACATTTTCGTGGTTCTCGTCTTCCCCCTACTTCCCATATTTCCCAATATTTTCCTAGGGAATCGACGATTCGTTGTGCCTGTGTGTTTTTGTTCCCTCCTGAATGCCAGTGCTCCGCTCTCGCTCGACGACGCGCGGGCCCCCTGCCCTCTCGACCTGACCCTCCTCCCCAGGGGGCCGGTGCTTCACCCCGCGCTTCGTGCCCTGCCTGTGGCCGAGAGGCCCACCGCAGCCAGAAAGGCCACTGCGTTCCTCGACTCGTCCTGCGCCCCCTGAAGACCGTCCTTCTACAGTGGAGCGCAGAACAGCCCCCCCCCACCCCCTCCATGGTCAAGAAGCCCCCCCGGCAGGCGACGCCGCCCCGCAAACACGCACGCACGGCCACCCCTCCCTCGATCTGACTAATGACAGAGGGAGGGGTGCAGGAAGCGGCGCGCGCGCGGCAACGAGCGCGGGACGTGCCGCCCCCGCAACAAGGAGGGGGGGGGCTCAGACCTCGCCTCCTGCCGGCGCACCGGGCCGAGGTGAAGGGGCCCTGGGACACACAAATGAGCACACACAAATGACACGATCCCCCCTCTTTTCCCATATTTTCTTGGCTTCTGTCTTCCCCCCCTCACTCCCCATATTTTCCTACATCTTTTCTTGGGGATCGACGATTCCTTGTGTCTGTGCCCCTCCTGACGAGGGGAGGGCTGCCGGGCCTTGGCCACGGTGGGCCCATGGCCACGGCCGGCCCCCTCCGCGGCGCCAATATAGGACACGGCAGGCAGACCCGCCGCCTCTCCGTGTCGTCTGCGAGGCCCCGGGCGTCCAGCCGCGGCGAGGAGCTGCCGCGCAGCGGGGCGCGGCGAGTGGCCCCAGCTGGCCATCGCTCGGACGTCCGTTCCCTGTGTTTTTGGTTTCGGTCTCGTGCGTGGCTTTTTTTCGCTCGATGATCAGGGGTGCTCCTCGATGGTCCTCGCCGAAGGAAACATGCACACGTCCGAGCGATGCCAAGCCAACGGCAAGCTGTGCGCTGCGAGGGGAGCACGCGTCGCTCCGCTCCGCGGGCCAGGCGGCCTCGAAGAGCGCGAGGCGTGGACGCGCTGGGGCCAGGAAGTGGAGGGCGTGTCGCGCCGAGGCGCAGTGGGCCAGAGCCGGCGGAGCGACACGCTATCCAGAAATCCCCGACCGCATCTCTGGCAGCATCAGCCACGGCGTCTTGGCGCACCCGCACCCCCCAACCGAGATTCAGGTCCTCCTTGTGGTCCTGCACGTCATCATCGGCGTCCCTGGTGAAGGGCGCGCTTTCATGTCGAGCGTGCGCCCATTCATAGAATCTCCCCCTCCTTCCCGACCACCCCCAGACATCCGACGAACAGATTCTGCAGCGCAAGGGCATTGGAATAGAAGCCCTGAGTGGACCGAGACGGCGCGACTGCTTGACCTGGTGGGACCCCTTGCACGGTCTGCATTAATGAAGGGGCCCTGGGACACACAAATAAATACACACAAATAAAAGGATTCCCCATATTTCCCCATATTTTCTGGGTTTCTGCCTTCCCCCCCACTTCCCATAGTTTCCCATATTTTCATGGGGATCGACGATTCCCACTTCCCATAGTTTCCCATATTTTCATGGGGATCGACGATTAATTGTGTCTGTGTGTTTTTTCCCTCCTGAAATCAAGTCCCACGCCAAGCTATTCGACAGCGTGCCAGCGCCCGCCACCGCAGCTCCTGCTCGGACCGAGGAACGGGCCGACGACGTCGTGCCCCTTTGCTTTCCTCTCCGGCGACGTCCTGTCCTGCTGCACTCCCCCTCAGCTGAGCATTTTCTTAGGGTGGAGGGCTCAGGGTAAAATCCATGTGGGCTCTTGCACCTCGAAAATCCATCGGTCCTGTGATCCACCTTCTGCAGACTCAAGCCTCGAACAAAATCCATCGAAACGGCATTTCAGATTTCACCCTTTGCCCTCCACCCCCGAGAGAACGCTCCCCCTCAGAGGGGAATAGCTCCAGGACCGAGGGACCGAGGACCGAGGGGAAAACGACGTCGTCGGACCGAGGGACGGGCCGACGACGTCGTGCCTCTTGGTTTCCTTTCCGACGACGTCCTGTCCTGCTGTACGTACTCCCCCTCAGGGGGGAACAGCTCTCAAGGAGCGGCTCGCGACCTCCGAGGGAGCACTCACAGCTCCGCGCGCGCGCGCCGGGCCCGGGCGAGGACCTCCCGGCAGGTGCCCTGCGCGGCGGCCCCGCCCCACGCGAGCCAGTTGTGGTAGGTGCTGCCCCCGGAGTGGCGCGGCGGCGCCCCGGGGGGGTCCATGCCGAGCGCGAAGACGCCCCTGCTGCGGGCCATGCACAAGCACGCCTCCCCGGACCGCCCCGGGCAAGGCATCCCCACGAGCCGCGGACACGCATCCCCAGACCCCCCTCGGGCCATGCGGGGATCCTGGCGGGAGGTGCTGCCTTGTTCTTCTCGGCCTCTGGAGGCCCTTCGTACATCCCGACCGCGAACACGCCCCTGCAGCCCCAGACCCCCTCGGGCCGTGCAGGAATCCTGGCGGGAGGTGTTTCCTTATAGTATCCTCGGCCTCTGGAGGCCCTTCCCGGGCCCTCGCGGGGCCGTCAGCCAAAAGCGGCTCCGCGGGGCGAGCAGCCGGTTTCCAGGGGAACGGGTCGAGACCTCTGCAGGGGCGGCGCTGGGAGAAAGCCATGGCGTCGCGAGGGTCTGGGCCGGCTGCGCGCAGACCCTCCGGGGATCTGACCTTGTCCGAACCCGGCGCTGCTCCCCGACTTCGGCCCCGCTGGGGGGCCCCTCCTAGGGGGAAAACAAACCTACCTCGCTGTTGACCACCCTCGCTTCCAAAAGATACCGAGCGATGCCAAACTACGGCCTGGAAGCGAAAGCGGGGTAGGTAATTCACGCTCTGACCTCCTCGGCCCCTCCGGGGCCCTCAGAAGGCGGGCCCGGGGGCGCGAAAACTGCCCCGCGGGGAGCGGGTCGGGACCCGCGCGCGGGTCGGGACCTCTGGGTGCGCGGTCTGCCAGGCAGCGCCACGCGGTGTAGCATCAGGCTGGGCATGTCCCCCTACAGGCAGATCTTGGGGAGGAAACGTGCACAAAGAATATCCAACCCTTAGTGGGCCCTGGAAACGACAGGGCCGTTTTTGTTACCGGTTCCGTTTTGCCGCTTCTTGGCCGGTTCCAACGCAGTTCTTTATCGGTTCCGTCGCCTTGTTTTAACAGGTTCCGGCTCCGGTTCCAATCCTGGAGCCGTTTTTTTGCCGTTTCCGGTCGCCGTTTTTCGCCGCTTCCATGTTCAAAGGACCTTTTTTGGAAACGGTGAAAAAACGGCCTTGCCGTTTCCGGGGCCCACAAAGATGCAAACCGACTCAAACACCAGGCCGGGCATGTCCCCCTACAGGCAGATCTGGGAGGCAACGCACACACAGAATCTCCAAATCTGTTCAAACAGTTACATTCACCAAACATCTGAGCCTCGTCTCCACACTCTATCTGGACTACTTTGGGATGTTCCTCCTCT